TCATAGCTGTGTTGAAGATTTTAACTTTGGATCGAGGTAAATCAGCTCCTGAGAGTGATCTGTGCTGCCACAAAGGACTGCTTTATTTAAAACAGCCCCAGTGCTCATTGTCAACACTGTTTCAGTGGAATTTATTGGCATGTCTTTCTGGATCCTCATTCAATCTCTGCTGCTGATCCTGGCATTTAATTGGCCATCATCATTGTCTTGACACAATTTGAATCCAGTTCTGTGGTTAACAGGTTAAAGTGCAGCTCTTTTCAGCACAAACACTGCCCTGGCCTTCCCCCTGGGAAACTACAAAGAATCTATTAAATATCTGAGGTGGGGGTGGGCTCTTCTCCCAGGTAACAAGTGACAGGATGAGAATAAATGGCCTAGAGTTTCACCATGTTGAGTTTAGGCTGGATATTAGGAAAAATTTTTTCATGGAAAGAGTTATGAAGCACTGGTACAGGCTGTCCAGGGCAGTGGTGGAGTCACCATCCCTGGAGGTATTTAAAAAACATGTGGATGTGGCACCTGGGGACACAGTCAGTGGTGAATGTGGTGCTGGCCTGATGGTTGCGCTTGATGTTGTCCAACCTTGACAATTCTGTGATTCTATGAAAAGGGTTTGGGGTTTTTTCCTGATGGTAGAGAAAGAATTGCAGGTAAAGACATTGCACTACTGGGTTCCTAGGAATCTGAGATTAACAAGGCAACTTTCTGCTTTTGTTTTGGAGCATAGTATGGATGCATTATTTAGGGGAATCTGGTACCTTGACTCTCCTGTGCTTTTTATTCACTCTCTGCATTGCCTAGAGGATACAAAGTACAAGGATCTGAAGGGCAGGCTGTGTACACACTCTGAACTGGCTTGGTAGCACAGAGCCAGGGATAAATTCCCTCCTGTACTAAAGCAGCGTGATAAACTTCAGCACCAGAGGTAAGAGGAGCTACACAACTGAGATAGACCAGCACATTCCCACCCCAGCCTTGGTGGCTCCTGCTTGCATTCAGAAATAGCATCATCCTCTTTTGTATTTGCTGCCTGCATTTGTGTTTGTGTCGTTTCTGCTGTGGGATGAGAAGACAGCAGGAAAGGAGAGCAGGGAGGGGCAGACGTTATCATTGGCTTGGGACAAATGGGGGACACCACTTGGGACTGAGAGGGAAAAGGCAAAGGCAGATCAAGGCAAAGCATCTCAAACAGGGACACAAGAATATTAATGCACTTGTGCATGCAGAAATTCTGGTCACACGAAAAAAGAATGGATTTCCCTCCACCTTCCTCAGGCTGCCCTCTCTGGCAACACACAGACCTGGAGGCAGCTGAAAAGCTTCAGCAATGACAACTCCAGAGCAGTGACCACAATGACTATTTCCTGGTTTGTTTGTCCATGAATGGATCATTATTGACCCAGCAGCTCCTTCACAACCAGCTGAGGGCTGTTGGGACAAACTGGCTGAAGCCAAAGGCTGTGGGAGGGAACTATTATCTTACATAGGAAATTTAGGAGAGCCCTTCAGCCTATGAAGCACCTGTAACCAGGTAGCTGTGTCCCTACAGTTAGTGGGATGAAAGATGGGCCTCAAGCAAGGCCTGGCAGTTGTCCATGCAGTGAAAACCCATGAGACTGAGCACCAAGATTTGCAGTCTTTGCAGCAGGCAGAAATCCAGTGATTTCTCTTCGAGGCTTAGCTAATACCAGAACAATTTATCTATGCTACATTCTGTCCTTGCAAATGTAGGGTCATCTGACCCTGTTAAAAGCATGAGAGTGCAGACAAAGTCTCTTATGTCAAGACTTAAATCTAGAGAGGACCCAAAGTGTACCCCAGGTTCTCCCTTGAGAACCCAGCCTTCCAGCAGTCATTAATTCAGCTTAAGGCTCTTGCATGTGCTTGGCTCTGGGGATGCCAGTTGTACCTGTTCATTGGGTTTGTAGCTCTCCCTCCTTGCTGGCCCAGGCAGGATAATCACTCCCCATTATTTATTAGTGCACAGCATCCTTCTCCTCTCCAAAGGCATTTCCCCAGACTGTGGCTGCCTAATCAAAGGGGTTTATGATAGGAGATGATGCTTGGGCTGGAGCTGCAGCACCACAGAGAAAACCTCAATGTATTTGTGCCATATTTACAGACAATTTCCCCACTGTTCAATCCCATGGATCTTTGATTCCTAAATACAATCAAATGTTTGGGTTTGCATCCCACAAAAGGGGTGGGAAGGTGCTTTTACCCCATTTTGGGGTCATAACTTGAAAGATGACACAGGTGGCATGAAGTGAGCAGTGCAGAGGAATATGTTAGACTGGAAAAAGGGGATGGGTGTTTCTAATGCTCAGAGAGTGTCCCAGCTTCCTCTGGAATAGGAATTGCTGCATTTCCCCCAGTATCCTGACTGCAGAGTTGAGCAGCTCATTTCTGTCAACCAGATGTCATAAGAAAACAGCAAGGAACACAAAAAGCAAATGACAAAGTGGAGGTTAAAGGAAAAAAAAAAAAGAGAAAAGTGTCTTCTGCTTTTGGTGTGCCACAATGGCTGTACCTTCCAACAGGATTCAGGAAGGGATGAGATAAAGACAGCACAAGAAATGACCCCCTGGCAAGACAGGCACTGATCATTATGGGAATTTTTACCCAGCCTGAAGCTATGCACTGCAAAAATCTGAAAGCATAACCTCTCCCTGACCTTGGAAAAGATTTTCCCCTGTTTGAAAATAAAATTCAGAAGGGAAGAAAGGAGGAAATTAGTAGAATAAGCACTGCAGCCTTTAAACACAGACATTATTGAACACAGCCCAAGCTTTCTCAATCCCACAAGCACTTCCTTATGAAAACCCCTCCCTGTTCCTGCATCTCACCTGTAGTTGGGAGTGGCTGACAGGGGAGCAGTGTGAGACTGAGCACCAAGATTTGCAGTCCTTGCAGCAGGCAGAATAGATTGAAGGTCCAGGATGAGGGGTTGTGTTATTACCTGCCTGCTTGTAATGCAGATCCATCCTCTGCATTTCTTGCCAACACCTCCAAACTAAAAATAGAAATGTTTCCTTCACAGTTGGCATGCAGGAAGGAGTGGGGCAATTACAAAGTTTTATGGGAACATCTCTTCTTTGCTGGGTTGGAGCAGCAATGGTAGAGCAGTAGTAGCGAAATCAGACCATCACCAAGAAGAGCTGGCCCAGGGCCTACAGATCCTGCAAGATCTGAGAGCACAAACTGAACATCAGAGATGCTCCTGTGGGAGCAGAATGTCAGGCAGGAAGCACTTGGCCTCTACATCCCATGGGAATGAAGCATTTTAGCTCCCAGCTCCACCATCCCTGAGTGACACAAGGTGCCCACAGGAGCTGTGCCCGGAGGTTTCTTTGCATTTAAAGCTGGGGCAGGTCCCTGCAGTGTCCCAGCTTCATGGTGGTTGTGGATATTGCAGCTGGAGTGGCCAGAGCCCTCCTTTGTCAGTCCTGGGGGCCAACTCCAGAGACTGCTGAGTGCAGAATGAGCTTGAGAAGGTGTAAAAATTTCATCCCTGGCACTGGCCATAGCCAGATTTTGGGTCAAGGTGAGTTCCTGACAGCACTGTCCAAAGAAAGCTTGGTTGGGGAGGACAAAGGGATTCCTACCACGGTTACTAAGGGGAAAGGAAGGTGCAAGCACACCACATTTAAATCAATTTCTATACTTTATTCCATGACCAATCCACTCACTCAATTTGCCCACATCCAACTCATTAGCCCAGGATCCATCTGACTTGCCACCAATGCCATCCTTCCATGTGAGCTGACAGATGATGTTTCTGAGACCACACTCAGCAATGACAGCTCCTGATATTCTGACAGCATTCCTTCCTCCTCCAGCCCACTGTCCGCAGCCTTATCAACATCTGGATTGCCAATCCCCAGCAGAGAATGATGCCTGGAGGCTCTGGGCCTATTTGGGAATCTTTTACCCTCCTTGGGATCCCTGACACAGAAGGACCAGCTGGATGATGTCAGCAGCCTGCCAGGAAGATCAGGAAGGCAGTTTCCATCCTCTGGAACTGTAGGAAAAGGAAAACCTCGACACCCTTTCAGCCCTGTTTCGACTGCCCTCAAACCCTGATGTCTGGAGAGAGTTCTCCCTGCTCTCCCACTCCCTGACACCGCAGTGACAACAGTGCAGGCCCTGGGAACCCTGCAAGGGCTGCCACACTTGGGGCTTTCCCAGCCTTTTGAAAGGAACTGCACCCACTGTGCTTGTTCAGAGGGGATAGAGGAACTCTAAGCTGGCAGGACCTGCTAATTGAAGAAACCTAGTTTGGACTGTACTTGTTGTATAGAGTGTACAACAACCTTGTTGTGTTTGTTTGGGGCAAAAAATTGACTGGGAATAAGTTTCATCCCTTTGGGGTTTACAGTAGGGTATTTCTGCATGGGTTGGCAAGGAACCCCCTCTCCTCAGTTCCATTCATGAGCAGGGTGACCATGCTGTGAAATGCCCATTTACAACCACACTTGCTTTTTATTAACAGGTCCTTTTGCTCCTGGCAGGAACACCCAAACACCCCCTCAGCAAATGTAAGAGGCAAGAGTCAGTCAAGCTCTGCTCTTCCTTCAGGAGTCTTAGCCCTCCCATCAATGCGGTCCTGCTGCCCACTGAGGAGCTGAGGGATGTGTGTGGTAACACGTGGCCCAGTAGGAGTCAGGTCCTGCTTTTTTTGCCACTTTCCCAGTGACATCTCAGGGATGTGGCACAATCTGTTCCCCATTTATTAGACCAGAACCCTGGGATGGTGTCAAAGCACCAGCAGGATCAACATGAACCTTTCGAACGTGGTTTGCTGCGAAGGGAAAGGGGGAGGTGAGGTAGAAGAGATGGTAAGGAAGAGTGCAAAGCTCTTCATGCCAAAGGGAAAGAGATCATGACCCTTTAACTTGGATTCTTTCCCCCCACTTACCCCCAAACCAGGCAGATTGGGATGTTGGCATGGGAGGAGCAAGGATTCTGTCAGTGTCATGTGTTTCCTTTCTCCACAGTTGCCACTGGATGGGAGTAACATGAAGCCTCAAACACCACAGGTGTGTGGTGTGGCCATGCAGGGAGGAGGAGAAGCCTTGAACCCGATACTTGGCACCACCCCAAGCTCGGACCATCCATCCCAGGGGGGATGTCACTGTGGGTGTCTCCAGCATAGGCATTGCCCAGGAGGTGCCACCTGCTCAGGCATTGCTGTGAGAAGAGGACAGTGGTTCAGGAGTGACTGCAGGAGGAGCAGAGCAGCCACTGCACTGAATCCCCCAGGCTCTTGTGAAGAACCAGTTCCCATTCTGTGCTTTGAGGAGAGATCATTACATCCAAGTTTGGATTCAGACAGCCTTTGGATCTCATCTTTCCCTCTTCCCTGAAAGAGCTATCATCTCTAGGTTAAGAAATAACTAAAAAATACAATGTCAAGAGCAAGGCCTCCTCTACCAGCTCCCAGAAGATCCAACTGCTGCATGACAGACTCACATCATCACTTGAAAACTTTTCCCAGTCATGGCTCCTCTGCATCATTTGTTTCTGGCCCAGGTGGACACCAAAGTGCAGACACTGAAATGGTCCTGAATGCATCCCTTGGTTCCTTATTCCTGTGGCTGTGGTGGGATCTCTTGTTATTGTATGTCAGGTTGATGTGAAGGTGCAGTGTGAGGTGCACTCAGTTGCAGTGTGAAGAGGAGAACTCTCCCATGAGACATCTCCTTTCTGGCTCTAGGTGGGGATGTCTGGCTAATGGCTGCAAGATTTGCGTGATGGTTGCAGGCGGTTCTTGCTCAGGACAGCTCAGGCTGTCTCCTCACTCTGTAGCAGCACATTGCTGTGCTGACCAGAATCAGGAAACTGATGGACAGGTGAAGTGGCTGAGCCCCCTGTGGAGCAGGGTGGCATCTGCTCCCTGTCCTGCTCTGACACCACTGGAATGTGCTGAAAGGGAGAGATTTGGGTTCCTCTACCTCGGTACAGAATGGGCTGGAAACACAGAGTATTTATCCAGGTGATACTGGCAGTGAATGAACACTGATGACAAATGCAAGGACTTCATTAAAAACTCTCCTGGCAGCACAGTGCCTCTTCAGGTCCAGGAGTGTGCCCTTCCTGAGTCTTTGGAAATGCCCCTCCAACTGCCAGATGCAGAACCTGAGGAAGACAGGCACCAGAATGGGGTGGGGAGGGAAGAAATGGAAGGTGTTTGTTATTATCCAGTAATATTTTAGGAAGCTGTGGGAATCAGGAGCATGGTTCAATTGACCCATGGTCATGGAATCATGGAATGGCCTGGGTTGGAAGGGATGTGAAAAACATCCAGGACTATCCCTACCATGGGCAGGGACATCTTTCACTATCCCAGGTTGCTCCAAGCCCTGTCCAGCCTGGCTTTGAACAATTCCAGGGATGGGGCAGCCACAGCTGCTCTGGACAGCCTGTGCCAGGACCTCACCACCCTCACAGGGAAGGATTCCTTCCCAATAGTTAATAATTTTGCTGCACAGAACAGACATTTCCCAGCCCATGTCAATGCATGGTTGGAGTCGTCGATGTAGCCCCTGAAGCCCATCACAACTACCCCAGAAGGTGGGGACTTCTGTGTTCCTTCTGGAGTTACTTCTTATGGATCCAACCAGCCAGGCCAGCCTTGCCATGGATCCAGGCCAAGGACTACACTTGCTAGAAGGTACTGCAGAGATTTTATATTCCCAAAGAAAGGGAGGCATCATCCAAGTATTCTGTGCTTGGGTTTTGAAGAGAAAGATTGAAATGAATCTGCATAGAAAACGAATCTGCTTTAAATCCTGGTTATTTTCGAACCATGTCAAGCTCATGACAGAAAAGATGTCCTGCCATGGCTAATCCTGTCTTCGGATTAGCTGGACCAGGGCTGGGAATTGAGCCAAAAAGAGTCAGAAACTCCTGCTACCAAGTGCTGGCTCACAGTTTGGGAACACCACACACAGCTGTGTTTGGTGGGATGCTGGGCTGTCACTCAGCCATTGGAATGCGCTGCCCTGATCCCAGTTCCTTGGCAGACTTCCCAGGGAAGGAGGTCAGCAGGATAACAGGGTAACAGGGCCCATTATGTGGGTTTGGAGGCCGCCCTGCTAAAACACGTTTGGCTGGGGCTTGAGACAGCAACACTCTCAGGAGGGAGCACACGGAGTGGGAGCATCACACAGCACCACCAATCCCTGCTGATCCCCCCATGCCAGGGACAGCACAGGGCAGGCAAAGTTCGGGAATTAGCATTTCATGGGGAAAGCCAGCAGGCCTGGGACTCAGAGCTTCTCCTCTGCCAGCAGAGAAATCCATGAGCTGGATGGAAGCTGTCTGGACTCAGGGGCTGCCATCCTGCACAGCTTGCCTTGGCAAAGGCCCTTGGCTCCACCAGCAGAGCTGGCTCAGGGTTTTCCAGCTCAATTAGCTTTTGTCTGGTTTATTGAGATTTGGGGCTAAAGTGAAGACTCACTTGATACTAGAGTATCAAATACTCTAGAAAATAAGAAAATAAGTTTAGGAGGAAGAATATTCTGTTTGTTACTGGTACAGCAAATCCTGGGTGGTTTTGGTTCACTCTGATGTAAAAAAAAGATTTTTCCCTTTTTTTTTCTATAGCTTCCTTTTTTATTTTGTGCAAACCCCTACTCAGAATAAATCATCTCAAACCAAAATATTCCATCCCAGAGCATTCCCTCTCCCTCTCCACATCCCCATTTTTCTCCCTCTCCACCTCCCCATTTTTTGCTGTTTTTGTTTAATTTTCATTTGGTTTTACTGTTTTCTACAAATAGCAACTGGCAAAAAGCTGGGATTTTCAGAGACGGTTGTAAGGTTTTTTTTTAAACCTGTACCTGCCAATTCTCTGCAGGCTCAGGGAACACAACTGTGGAGGTTTGGCACTACAACAGCCCCAGTTCAACTATTCCTCTTTTCCCAAGGGCAGAATTTCCCTTTCACCCCACAACTGCACTGAGCTGAGCAAAGGAGCAATTGGATGGTTGGCTGGTGACTAAAGGAAATTAGGAAAAAAACATGATCATCATATCATTAATGAATTGAAAAAAAATAATTCTAAAAAACCCTGAGAGATGAACTGGATAAATCTTACAAATCTGCCATTTCTTGAGCAATTTTCAGCTAATAAGTCCAATTGAAGGAGGTTTTGAAATGAAACATCACTTCAAATGAAAAATAATCAGAGCTTGTTTGTTCTCAAAGTGCCAGATTGACACAAACATGAAAAACCTCTGAAATATTTATGTTCTTATTTTTTCCAATAAACAGCTTAAATTTACAGCACATATTAGTGAAAAAGTAATTTAGTTTTTTTACACTGGAAAAATTGATTCCATCTCCCTTTCTGCAGACTGTCAGAGCCTTACCTTCTCCTTGTTACAGTCTTATTCTGCTGCCAAATTTCAAACAAATCACAGACTTATTGTTAAAAAATAATCAAAAGGAAGGAGCACCTGATAAAGTTGTTTTCTCTGATGAAGTCAGGCACTTGCTTTGCACATGACAGTCAACATTATGAGTAAACTTGAAAATAGCCTTTTTCCTGAGTTTTGCCTCTAAATCAGTATTTCAGCCGAGGATGTGTCTCAGATGCTGAGCAGCACATGTGGCCCTGGCTGCCACAGCCTCTCAGGTGGCCCTTTCTCCACCCTCCTTGGGTTCATGGGGGCTAAAGAAAGTCAGAAGTGTTTGGAAAGCAGTGTCCTGCATTCTGCTAATCCTGTCCTTCATTAAAAACTTCTGTGGTGGGGAAGTTCAAGATGACAGCACTGAAGGGATGGGATTGAGGGGTTTCACAGGGAGATCCTTTCAGAACATTCCCAGCTGGGGAAGTCTGTGCCAGATAACATAGAGAGCATCACAGGATGCTTAGTTTAGAGTTTGAACTTCTGGATATCTAAAACTAAGCAAGAAACCCCACTCACAAATCCTCTGCTCCCATCCTTTTTTTGGCAATGTTCTGTTTTTCAGAGAGGTTGTAAAGATTAATGCAGCCATCGAGAGGTTCGGAGAGGAGAGGTTCGGAGAGGAGAGGTTCGGAGAGGAGAGGAGAATGAGTTCTCCTGGTGCATGGGGGACAAGAGGAGGAATAACAAGTTTAATCTGTAGGAAGAAATTTAAGTTTGATATGAAAAACCACCTAGAAAAGTTTGACAGACAATTTCCAGCCTGAGGAAGCAACACAAACACCATGGAATCCTCCTCTGGCACAGGGCCCTGTTCATTCCACACATATTACATGGGGCACATCTGTGGGATAACACACCATCCCTGGAGCAGGGTAACTCTGGGAGTGAGGATTTCTGGAGCACCTGGAGCTGTGCCAGACTCCAGCATCTGGCTGAATGTTCTCCTATGGCAAATGACAGAGCTGCTTTACCTGTAGAACCAGAACAGGAGCTTCTGTGCCTGAAAGAGACCTGTATTGTCACCCAGGTGACATTTGTGACCAGGAGGTACTGGGTGTAAGCAAGCGATGGCTCTGACAGGTGTGGAGCAGTCCAGCTCTAAATGAGTTAAATGTTTCCTGCTGAAATCCTGGACTGCTATGTTTTATTTCTGTTTCCCTCCAGTGGAAAACTTGCTTCTGAAATCACTTACTGGACATTGACAGAACGTTCCTCTTCCTCCTTAACACAAAAAAAAATTGGGAGGTAAGAATTAATCTCGCGTGTAAGTCACAAGTTTGGCACAGATGCCGTCCAGCTCAGTTTGGGCTCAAAGTGCTTTCTCACTAAAGTCCTTGAGCTGGAAAGCAGAGTGCAGGCAGCAGTGCCAGTCTGGAGCACACACGCAGGAAATCTCTCCAGGTCTGATCCCTCTTCCTCACTGCAGCAGGAACAGGCAGAGACAGCGCTGAACTCCCCGGGCTGGTGCCTTTGGAAAGCTTGAAAGAGGAAGGACTGTTCAAGGAACTGACAGACCTGGTACCTCTGAGCCCTGGGCTTGTGGCCTTTGATGAATTTGCTCAGTCATCTCGGTGTGAACTCTGCCAGGTACTGAAGAACACAGAGAACACAAGCTTTGAAAAGACACCAAGCCCCAGCACACTCTCCAGGGGTGCAGAGAAGCTGCCTCTGCCCCATCCCCATAGGCCTCCTCAGCCAAGGGAGCCCCAGCCCAGGCAGGGCTGGAGCCATTTGCAGCCTTTAATGGATTGAATCCCATTGAAGCAGCAGAGCACGGACACCCCTTTTCAGGGCTGGGCTCCTCAGACTCAGGAGAGGCCATTCCTGAAGCAGGCCCTCTCTCCAGTCCAGCTCACCTTCAACCATCGTCCCACCAGGCACCAGCCCCCTGGGCTGGCAAGAAGGTGCTGCAGCCCCCAGTGCTGAGCCAGAACATCTCCCCCATCCACAGGGAGTGTGGCTCACTGGGGCACAGGGGGTTAATCCAGGGCTGTCTGAGCTGGTGGATGTACCCCGAGGGCTCAGGGATTTCTGGGGCTGTTCATCAGCATTCGAAGGTCGGTGCAGCACCAGCATGTCTGGGTGCAGGTGGAGGCGTTCGGCCCTGCAGGGGAGGAGGATTCTCCCTCTCTGCGTTCAGTCAGCCCTCTCTGTGTATCTGGGGCTTAGAGGGCACAGGGAATCCTCCCACACCCTGCTCCGGGCTCGCCCTGGGGTGGGGCCCACTCACACTCCCAGGGTGTCCAACCCCAGCTGGGTTTTTGGCAGCTCTGTGCTGGGAGCCCGGGTTATGCAGGGGATTGTGCCTGCCTAAGTCAGGGAAGAGGCAGTAAGAAAGGAGAGGGTTCCATCCCTTCTGAGAGAGGGGAGGAAGGGGTATTTTCCCCTTCCTGAAGAAGAAGAGCAGTTTCCTCAGTAAGACTCTGGCAGTAGCCCCTTGGTGATAGGAAGGAGGTGCCTGGTTTGTCTGGTTGGGACCTTGACCCCATCTCATCCCAGTGTCCCTGAGGCATAGGAGATCACCACCGAGTGTCAGAGGCAGGACAGAGACCCCATGAAAATGCAAATTGGGGAAGATTCTGCTCCCAGGCTCTCCACTCTAATTCAGGCTCAGTTTCCAGAAGCTTTGCCCAGGGCAGGTCCCAGCTTTGGCTCCTCCACAGAAACATGATTTGCTCCTCACAGATACATCCTGCCAGCCAAGCCTATTGCCTCAAGGATTACCCACAGCAGAGACAGAAAGACCTTCTCATTCCCAAGGGAAGTGTGAAAAACGAGATTCACTTAATAAATTATAAAAATAATTTAATATAAACAAGAAGACAATTAGGAGACAAAAGAAATAAAGCAAAGGGTTAAAACGGCCGGGTGCCCTGGCGGGTTGCCAGGAACACACCTGGTATCTCAGGAACACTCTTTTTAT